TGTAGTATGCTTTCACAATATAACCTTATTTCTCCCATGTTCTTTGTTGCTTCACCGTTTCCTTTTCCCGTTTAGGCAAGTAAAACTATGAGCTGGTGACAGTTGAAAGGGACACAGTAAAACTTCTAATAGCATGGGGGAATATCAGAATGGAGGGATCATCTCTTTCAGAGTTGAAAGAGACAATGGCAGAAGGCAGTAGAATCCCATTGTTAACTTGCCCAAGTTTGTACAAAAGCAGAATGCTATATATTTATGTAAAAACTCTAGGTGTACTCCCAGAGGCCCTTGTGGCATGTCTTGAAGGGGAACATAGGGAGCCTCTGTTTCCTGGCTGGGCATGAAGCAGCTTCCCACATCCACAGCATAACTAGGATGTTTCCTGTTATGGAAGGAACACTGCTCTTTGTCAGAATACCTTCTTTTCTTTCCTAGGGCCAAGCTAAACCACATTTCTTTATCTTTCTTGCCATTACCTGGAAAACTGGTGCTGAGTTTTAAAGCCTGTATAAAGTTCTGTGTATATTTACCTTCTTCCTTTCCCCACTATCGAAATGTGCATGAACTGGTGGAAGACATTATTCTAGAAAATGGGAGTCAGTGAGCAAGGAACTGAAGTTTTGTATTTGTTTCTATTGTGAATGTACGCAGGAGTACTTGCTATACTTAGGGCTTTGTCACAATAAAATCATAGTAAGTTCATATTATATTATAGTTATTGCAGGCATCTCAAATGCCATTTATACTAGAATCAAACCTGCTTAAAGATAACTAATCAATACACATACTGCTAGACTTCTATTTCTTATGCTACTGAAGCATAAATATTGTTGCACACATTTAAAAACCTTGACAATCCTATTCAATATTTTTTCTTATAATCCATATGACAATGATGCCTTCAGGAATTTTTTTTTCTTCCCCTATGAGGTCCTTAAGCTTTACCAGGTTGCCAAGGGGCTACAGAGACCTGTTCTAGGTGGACCGTAGAGTGATTATGTGGAGCAAAGCCTTTCCCTCTCCACCTAGTCCTCACCACCCTGAGGATCCATACTGCTCTATGATGAAGGAAGACTGTAATTCGTGAGCCACTCAGTCAGGGGCGCTTTTATTTAACAGTTCAGTTACTTTATGCAGAGCACTATATTCTAACTACTGAAGTGACCCCAACAAAGATCCACAGTGGCCTCTGGTTGAATATCACTCAAAACTGAAGACTGGAGAGCAAGCACTAGATGAGGTCATGGCAATGTCTCAGAACCAAAATTAGGTAAATCTCATCAAATTCAAGGGCAGCCTGGGCTGACCATGCCAAGAGAAAGAAAAGAAGGGAGGGAGGGAGGGAGGGAGATCAAGGAAGGAAGGGAAGAAGGGAAAACATCAACCTATAAGGAAGAGGAAGTTGAATAAAGGAACCTAAGATTCAACTATGTTGCATAAGCAGATAGTTCAACCATAATTGTATTTGTACAACAAGAGTTATAACTGCCATGTAAGAAGGAATCTTCTTTGGCATTTTTCTCTTCATCTAAGATGAGCAGATGTTTTTATTTACTTTATTTCTCAGGTCCTAAGGGCTTTTGAATTTACTATACTTCATACGTACAGTTTTAAAACACTCTTATTAGCCCTGTTCTCAAGTAATTCAACACTGAAGAGAAGCAAATTAACAGAGATGTAACAGACATATTGCCTATGTCCTTCCATAGATTTTTTAAAAGAAGTAATTAAAAAAAATCTGTTTAGATTAAATAAAATCTTTAGTGATAAAAACTCTTTTGTGTTTGATGTTTCCTTTCTTCTTATTTTATAAATGCAGCACTGTGTCTAGAACCCAGGGCCTTGTGCACATTAGGCAGTGAAGGTCTGCCATTGTCCAGACAGGGTTTAAAACGGGTAGAAATCTGATGACATAGCTCCAAACACATTATGTTTTGCTCAGTTTTACTGCTCTCTTTACATTCTTCTGCTGCCTTGATCTTGGATCAGATGAACCCCACTGAAACTTTAAAACTGTCCTTAGCACATAGACCCTAGAATTATATGACATAATTCTTCCTGTAAGAAATACTATGGTATTTTATTATTACAACTGAGCCTGTTCCCAAGATAGTACCTTATAAAAAGTACTTGTTGTTGTTGTTGTTGTTGTTGTTGTGTGTGTGTGTGTGTGTATTTATAGGTGCTGTGGCATGTTCTGTATGCTGTGAAAATGTGTTGCTATGATTGATTGATAAATAAAGTGCTGACTGGCCAGTAGCCAGGCAGGAAGTATAGTATAGGAAGGACAAACAGGGAGGAGAATTCTGAGAAGTGGAAGGCTGAGTCAGGAGATGCTGCCAGCCGTTGACACCATGAGAAGCAGATGTTAAGATACTGGTAAGCCATGAGCCACGTGGCAAGGTATAGATTTATAGAAATAGGTTAATTTAAGATATAAGAACTAGATAGCAAGAAGTCTACCACAGCCATACAGTTTATAAGTAATATAAGTGTCTGAGTGATTATTTTATAAGTGGGCTGTGGGACTGTTGGGTCTTGGGGGGACTCGAAGAGAAACTCTCCAGCTACATATAGGCACGTGTGTAGAAGTCAGAGGACAGCTTTTGGGAATTGGTTCTCTTCTACCATATGGTCCCAGGGATTGAAATTCACCAGGGCTTGGCTGCAAGTACCTTTAACCCCTGGGCCAGCCCAGCTCTTTTTTTTAAAAAAATTTCTAAAATAATAATATCTCACCAGCCCAGGATGGTCTCAAACTCAAGATCCTCCTACCTCCCCCAAACTAGGATTATAGACATGTGTTTCTGTGTGTGGCATTATTGGCATCTTAGGATGTTTTAGCAAGTATAATACTTTGCTGTAAGTTTTTGTGTGATTTTTCACAAATCCAAGAGTGGAAAAAAAAAAACAGCATAAGGAACCCACAAGCACATATCTCACCTTCAACAACTATTACATGCTGCCATTCTTATTTTATTCTTAGTTTTTTTTTTCCCTTTTCAGTTCTTAAAATCAAGCCCAGGCCATTCACAGGCACACACTCTCCCCCACCCCACCCCACCCCCCCTTGCCCCCTTTAGGCTATTCTGATTGGATTTCTCCATTAGGACTGTTTTTTTTGTTTTGTTTTTTTGTCCCTTTATTTTTTTGTTGGTGTATTTTTAAAACCAATTCTAGGCATTGCATTAGTTAATTTGACTGAAAAATATTTTTGTAGGATAATTACTTTACTTCACATTTAGCATACTTATTGGAATAGAGTCCATGTTTGAATTTTGCCTGGGTGTCTACAAATGTCTCATTGGTTTGTTTGAACGAGGATCACAAAAGTCCTCCTAGTGGTTATTTGGTTGCTATTATCTTCAGGTTAATAAAGAATTCTTTTGTTGTTGGTTTGTTTTGGTGGTGGTAATGGAACTGCTAATCAGGAGCAGTCCTGCTGAGTTACAGGCCCAGCTGCCCATCCCTCTCCCTCTTTAAAATGCCACTTATTTGCTGAAGAAGCCAGGAAGGATATTCTTCTGTCAAAATTCCTTCATTCTCATTCTGGATTTTGCTGACTGCACTGTTTACTGTTCAACATGTCCCTCTGTTGTCTATAAAAACACTCGTGGGATCTAAAAGAGAAATCTAATTTTCTTTCAGCAAGAATATGGACGGCATGGGTGACACTGTGGGGTACCTTCACTGAATCCAGGAAAAAACGTAACGTTGGTATGAGAGTAATGGCTGACTTCCTGTGTTCTAGGCCTGACCTATCATTACAAAGTGTTGGAAAGTTTCCCCTATTAACTATTAGTGACCATCGGCTCTGGAGTTATTATTTTATCAAGAGCTGTAAAATGGTGATTTTCGAATTCCATCATTCCAAATTATTAACTGGACTTCTCAGAAGATAAAATTCCTTGCACAAAGTACAAGGTTACCCAGAAACACAACTCATACCAAAGGGCGGGATGAATGCCCCCCTTTTCAGAATTTACCATACGTTCAGCATGTGAGTTCTTGTGTATTGCTTGTTTCGAACAGGGAGTCCTGAATCTTTGCTGTCAAAGTTGCTAGGGAGTGCTCACCAAGAAACCTAGCAAAAGTACAACAGGGTGGGACAGGATGGGATGGGTAGGACATGATACAACGCAAAGGGGTACGGGGGGGGGGGGGACGCCAGGGAAGAGAATACCTTGGGCAAGGCTCTAGGAGGTGGAATCCAAGCCCTCTGAGTTGTCCTGGGCATCAGAGCTGTCACTGCTCTTGTCTTCACCTGCAGGGTTCTCCAGCTGACACGCCTCTTCGGCACCAGGAAGAGCGCTGCCCCGGGCCTCCTGGTTCTCCCCGGAGCCCAGAACCACATATCTGCCCTTCTTCAGCACCAGCTGCTGTCTCAGCTCGTCTGCCATCTGGGAGAGATCGCGCTTCATGGCGTAAGCATCTTCCCCGTCGGCATAGTACTTGGGTTCCACCTCACTAACCTGGAAGTGGAGGGTGTTCGAGTAGAGGTGCAGGGCGGCCCGGTTGCTCTTCCTGACGTGCAGGGACACGTACTTGGCGCCGAAGTTCTCGATCATGGCCCGGGAGGCCTGGTCCATCAGCTTCTGCGCCAGGCCGAGGCGCCGGTGCGAGCGCTTCACGGCCAGCGAGGTGATGTGCCCGTGGGGGACGTCATCGGGGTCCTCCTCCATCTTGGCCAGGACGTAGCCCACGATCTTGCCGCCCTCGTCCTCGGCGATGTAGGAGAGCTGGGGCCACGACAGGCCGTGGTAGAAGTAGTACTTCATCTGGTAGTTCTCCGGCAGGCAGAGCAGGTTGCAGTGCTGCATGTTCATGAGGTCGTCGGGCCGGGCGTTGCGGATGTTCATCCTGGCGGCCCGGTTGCCTCGGGAATTGACTTCCGCAGACCCAGCCACGCGTGCGCATGCAGCAAAGGTGCTGGAGACCGGTGGTGGCGGGAAGGCCGGAAGGCCGGCAGGCGGAAGGGGCGGGGCTGAGGGAGCTTCCGGAAGCCCGCCCGCCGTCCCAGCCAATGAGGCTTCCAGGGTGACACGCCTGCACCTGCGCACACTGGGGAGAGGGGCGGAGGGAGAGGCGTTCATTTGCTGAGCCCTGCTTTGTTTAAAATGTAAGTGTGGCCCAATGCTTCCCGTGTCTTGTATTTGTTTCAATGTTAACTTAAGTTCTTTTTTTTTCTTTTAAATTTACTTATTCCCTCTCGGTATGTAACATATATATATATATAACTGTACGTGTGTGCACCATGGTGCATGTAGAGGTCAGAGGGCAACCTGTAGGAGTCTCATTTTCCAAGACATGGGTCCCATGTATTGAACTCAAGCCCTGAGTTTGTCAGCAAGCGCCAGTATGCTCTATACTCAATGAGCCATCTCTCTGGACTCAATTTTAGCCTGCCTACATCTGAACAGCCCTATGTAACTAGAACAAATAAACCAGTATTTCAGTGCCATCCCAGGTAGTCTGCCTGACCTGCCCCTTACCCCGTGGACTGCTGCCTAGCAGTTTTCATATAATGAAATCATACTGCATGCAGAGACCCACAGCCAAGCACTGGGCCAAGCTCCAGGGGTCCCGTTGAAGAGAAGGAGGAGGGATTATATAAGGAGGGGGTGGGGGATCAAGGTCATGGCGGGGGAAACTCACAAAGACAGCTGACCTGAGCTTGTGGGAGCTCATGGACTCTAGACCTACAGCCAAAGAGCCTGCATGGGATTGAGCTAGGCCCTCTGCATGTGGGGGACAGTTGTGTAGCTTAGTCTTCTTTGTGGGGCACTTAGCAGTGGGACCAGGATCTGTCCCTGGCACATGAGCTGACTTTTTGGAACCTATTCTCTATGGTGAGATGCTTCACTTAGCTGTGATACAGAGGGGAGGAGCTTGGTCCTGCCTCAACCTGATATGCCATACATTATTGACTCCCATGGGAAGCCTTACCCTTTCTGAGGAGTGGATGGGGGGCTAGAAAGATGATGGGGGGAGGGAACAGAAGGAGAGGAGGGAGGGAAAACTGTGGTTGGTATGTAAAATAAATTTAAAAACTTAATAACAAATCATACTGCAGAAAACTTAAACATTATCATATGCAGCAGATCTTGAAGAGGTTAAAGGACCATAATTTGTTATATACATCCAGAGTACAAAAACTTATTTCCTAGTTACCTGGTAGAGATTCAAACCTGAAATCATGTACAGGAAGTTAGATGAAACCTTATTCTAGAATTAGTTCTCTATATGACCATTAATATCATGAAAAAAGTTGAAAAAATATGTATATATATATATATATATACACACATATATATGTATAAGTCTTATTAATTTTGAGATAATACTTATACCTTAAGAAAAGTTTTAAAGAGTCAAAATAAAACCAAAGGATTATGAAATTAGTAGCAATAGAATAGTCCCTTATTTTGTTTTTTCTTCTGTCCCATATCAGGTGCTCTTCTAACATGAGACAGAGACTTTGGATTTTTCTTTTAAAAGCATGCTTGGTTATAGTTTTTCTTAGTTATAATAGAACATAAATTAGGTACAAAATTTTGGAGTCACACAGATAAGATAAAAAATAGAATATTATCTCTAATTTTGTCAGACAAATGGGTTGGATATTATAATTGTAATTCTTACTTAATAACTGGTTTGATGTATATAATCTTACTATGTTAAAGTTAAAACCTTCCTTTTTAATTTGATAAAAAGGGGGAAATGCTGTGGAATAATCCTTTTGTACACTGTGAAGTTTTGTTATTGTGACTGATTTAATAAAGAAGCTGACTTGCTAATAGCTGAACAGGATAAAGTTAGGCGGAAAAGTAAAATTGAGAATGCTGGGAAGGAGAAGGGTGGAGTCAGGAGTCACCAGCAGATGCAGAGGCAGCAGGAGATAAATGTGCCATGCTAATAAAGGTACTGCTATGTCAGAGTGTAAATAAGGAATATCTGTTAACTTAAAATGTAAGAGCTAGTTAGTAATAAGCCTGAGCTATTGGCCAAGCATTTATAAATCAATCTAGCCACTAATGAATAGTTTAATAAGGTAAAATATCCAAAGGAAGAGATAATTTACTTTAAACTTGTAGTGATTTTGCTTGAGGAGGCACCATAAACTGTCCATATTGCCAGATTAGTTTCCTATCAGTGTCCCAACTGTCCCCATGTGTCATTGACAGTAATATACCAGAGATAGAAATCAATAATAGTTTTGTATGGTAGATATGAGTGTGTGGGGGAGTGAAATGTGACAATGGACAGAAAGTGATGAACAGGAACTGGCTGTTGAGATAGAGGGAGTAAGGTAGCATTTATGAACCATGGGTGTGGTCAGCATAAACTTGACTTACATTCTTACTTTATGGCTTGTTAACTATGATCCTGGAGAGACCACTTTAGTGTTCTAGGCATCTGTGTTTTATTCTATGAATGCTAAAACTCCATGCAACAGCTCTCCTACTTTGTTTTGAGGATGAAATGGGGGTAATGTATATGAGAGAGCTTTGTATAAAGGAGGATTGATGATTTTTAAAGAACTCATCCTGAAGCCCTGAGATGCTGATTGGCTGGCTGATAGACATATTGGATAAGAAGAAAGAAATGTTTAAAGAGAAGGCAATGTAGCAGGTATAGAAGAGTAGTGATTGCTGGGTGGTGGTGGCTCACACCTTTAATCCCAGCACTTGGGAGGCAGAGGCAGGTGAATCTCTGTGAGTTCAAGGCCAGTCTGGTCTATAAAGTGAGTTCCAGGCCAGGCTCCAAAAGCTACACAGAGAAACCCTGTCTCGAAAAACAGACAAACAAATAAAACAAAACAAACAAACAAACAAACAAACAAAAAGAAGAGTAGTGATTATGAGTGGTTTTCATCACATTTAAATTAGGGAAGGAGGAGCTAAGATGACAGAAGGATGCATCAATAATAATCTCTTAACTTTTGAAAGGACCCAAGAGGAAAAACCAACAGCAATGGATTTATCCCACATTCTTCCACTTAAATCTTACAATATCTATTGTCAATTATAGAACCATCCATTAGAAAGTCCATAGGAGTGGTGTATTGCATGGCCCCCTTGAGCATGGGGAGTGGCCAACTACCTTTACCTATCCAGTGAAGTAGAAAGGAGAGAGACTGAGACAGGGAAATGAAGTTTTATAGTTTCTAGGACGATAAGCTCCCAGATACCTGGCTTTTGGTTTCTTGGTGTACAACTGCTTGCCAATTCTTTATTATATCCATTCTACATGGTCTTGGCACTTTGGTAGTTGACTTAACTATTTTGTGTATAAATGCCAAATGTTTGTTTCCTAAAATTGACTTTCCCCCTTAAACCTGGGGAGTTTTCCAGTGATTGTTTAAGGAGAAAATTTGGAGTTATGTGACTTTTTCAAAAGGGCATCTTATTTAATAACTATGCCAAACAATTTGTTGTTAGGCTCAGCCATGTGATGTCTTAATTTTATCTAGGTCTAAAATTCTGTATTAGTGTAATACAGATGAAATTTGCTTCTTTGATGGATGGAATGGTGGGATTCAGAATAGAGGTAGATCGTCAATATTAAAATAGAATTCAATAAGTGAAATTAATTTTTACTAATCTGACAACAAATAGTTACACAAATTTTTACATTAATAAAGAGAAATTGGTGAGTTTGCCTTCCTACTATGTTAATAATGTTTTTGTTTTGCTTTTCATTAACTTGTATTAATTGTACCTATCTATAGAGTTGAATGTGATGCTCTCTTTTAAGCTTTGGCCAAATGTTAAATAGTTCTTCTCTGTTTGTACCCAATTTTGCAAGCAAGATGGTGCTAAAAGTGTATAGTATTTTGGGGGTACTCTTTTCCTTGCAAACTGATTAAGGGGAAATAAGCTTTGGGAAATTTAGCGTTACTTTGTTATGAGATGAGAATATATAACACATAGTTATATCTATTCAGAGTCTCACTGCAAAGTGCTTTCCTGGCATCCAGATCACTCATGCCAGTGATATTCAGAACTGGATGTATAGAAGTAGAAGTAGATTTTGAGGATTAATATAAAAATCATAGGAGTATCTGACATTTCATATTTCTTCAAGAAGTTTCAGGGATGCAGATTAGCTAGAGTTTCTAGGGTTCTCACTAAGGTGATGTCTTGGTTCAAGAGGAACCAAAAAATGTTCAAGATGGATGAGCAGAACAGCTCCATGAATGTAGGCTGAATGTTCAGCTGGAGAAGTAACTCCCCCACAATGAGGCTGCCAGTTAAGCACCACTTTGCAATTCACTCTCTAATTATTTCAAGAAATACAAAACATATTTTCAATCTTCTGCTGTGTCTTTCTGTCCCACTGTCATTAGCTCTTGGGATTTCTCTCTGCTTCACTTCCCCAACGTAGCAGATTAAACATGCAAAGCAGAAAGCACAGAAGAATGATGACACGTGGGTCTCTGTTCTCCTGGCTCACTCTGCTAATCTGCCTCAACTGCCATCACCAATTAGGGTGAAGCGATGGCTCCCACCATGGCTGTTGCTGTATTGAAATGCACTTGGAGAGTCATACATGCATGTTTCACTTGATGAACTTATTATTTAGCACATAATGTAGGAAGACAAGAGGTTCTATTTCAGGAATTGGGGACTTTTTAAATGGTTGAAATATGCTACCCATGTAAATGTATATAGTAATAGGTGATCTTTAAAAAATAATTAAATAAATACCCAGGTATTCAGCACTGAGCTAAGAAATAGGATAATGTGAATACTTCTGAATTCTAGTCATAATCCATGCCAATATATTTTAGAATATATATTAGGCTATATATATTAGGACATAGAAATAGAATATATATTAGTATGTGCATGCACACACATGACTATTAGAATATATATTATTGTGGGTGTATGTTTTAACCTTAACTTGTATAATTAAATATTTCTTATTATATATTAAATAAAAATTATACAAGTTTTATAATTTTAATAAATAGAATTAAATACTTATATTTAGCGATTTATATTTTTTTGTTTGTTTTTTAATTTTCCAGGGCTGAGGACCTAACCCAGGGCCTTGTGCTTGCTAGGCAAGTGCTCTACCACTGAGCTAAATCCCCAACCCATGATTTATATT